TTATTTAAACATGCTGTATGAGAATTAAATAAGCACTGTTTGCTTCTCATTCCTAGGTTCTGCACTGTTAAAAGAAAAGAGAAGGCATCGATTACATAAATTCTTATGTCTCAGAGTTGGAAAACCAATGAGGAAGACATTTGTATCTCAAGCAAGTGCAACAATGCAGCAGTATGCCCAGAGAGATAAGAAACATGAATACTGGTTTGCTGTGCCACAAGAAAGGTAAAAAAAGTGAAACATTATTGAGATTTCTTAAATTAGAATTTTTTGTATATCACTTTCCACTAGTGACTGAGTACTTTTGAAGCATATAGTTTATGATTAAAACCTCACATTAACTCTATTAGAAAGTATTTAGCTACTATTTTATATATACTGTTTAACTTACCTGATTTTTAATCTTATTCCCCTTTTTGGTTTGATGCAAAAAGAGTGACCGTGTAGCAGTTTTAGTAGTAAAGAAACTTAGTTAAAAGGTCTTAGAGCAAGAAGGTTCATCAAGATATTAACTGGTATGGCTCCTCCCTCAAGGCAGATAAAGATTTATAATCCTTTTTTTAAAATGTTCTCAAGTACTTGTTGAATGCCTGTTACATGACACTAAATTAGTATGTGGCCTTCAAACTATTTTTTTGTACCCCATGCACACAAAAAATTTTTTTAATCATAAGCTTAAACAGTTACAAAGGGTGTTGTTTTCACTGTATTGTAAATATGGAAATTTTAAGTTAAAACTGATATATTGATCTTCTAAATATGTCCAGTGGCATCTAAACATCGTTACAGTTTTCCCTCTACCACAGTCCATTTACAGCTACTTGGATGCGCTCTTCTTTAACACTTTAGAATTTGCATCATTATTTTTTCTCTTTGAACTTGTATTTCCATTACACCTCCTCATAGAATTTTATTAAAAGGTACTATATTTTTATTTCTTATTGTATTTCTTTGCAACAAATTATATATACATTTACATACACACACAGACACACACACACACACACACTGAAATTACATTTACTTTTCAGTTTTCTATGACTATTACAAAATAGTAAAGGGCCTAAGATTTTACCCTACTTTACCCTGCCTATAAGCTAACAAGTTAGCCTGCCACAGTTTGATGGATTCTGGCAAAAAACACAGAATGATAGCAATAGCAGTAGCCAAAATATTAGCATTTGTATGGGTTTTTTGAGGCCTCAGTTTCCACAGGATGATATGAAGAAAGCCAGGTGACACCTGTATATGCCTTAGGTTGTGTTTCAGAAGACAAACTCTAAGCTTAGGGAACCTGAATCTTTTATAATTGGCAGTAAGCAAGTTTGCTCTTCGCCCCAGAGGAGATACTGTCTTTATGTTCCAAGGCTGTTTCCTATACTAACAGACTTGAAAAGACAGTGCTGAACAAAGGTACTTAGTGCCTTTGCTCACAAGACATGCAAAAAACCAAGAAATCCATGGAAAATTGTCTGTCAGCAACCACGTGGTTTCATGTGTTAACTACATGCAGAATAAAGTTTTATTTTATCACTGCAGTTTTTATTAACGGACAATTGATCAAAGCAACATAGTATAAATTGTCATAACTCTTATACATAAAAAGTAAAATTTCATAGGAAATGCATGTCTTAATGAGATAGATGGGCTTTTCCTCTTCAGTTAGTTTACATATCTGTTGGTGAATATTATTTATTGAAAGGGTGAGATGAAATTCAGCATCAGTTCTTCCTGTCCTGTTTTTCTTATAAGTACTGATAAGCTTTGTTCACATAAAAAAGTAAAAGAGAGTGAAAAGCATTTTCTTATAATATTATCACTCAGTTTAATTTAAACTCAACATGTTTCTGTTTATATTCCAAACGTGTTTCTGTTTACATTCCAAAAATCACTAAATCATCTTTCATCAAAAATTCTTTTCAGTGAATAGCAGTGAACGACTACATTAGGAACTCCTTCAGTTTTGTGGAAATCAGTGAATTAGAGACCACTGGTATGCAGACCCTGGTGGCATAATGGTTAAGAGTTTGGCTGCTAACCAAAAGGTCGACAGTTCGAATCTACCAGGTGCTCCTTGGAAACCCTATGGGGTAGTTCTACTCTCTGCTAAAGGTTCACTATGAGTTGGAATTGACTCGACAACAATGGGTTTTTATGGGTTTTGTATACAAAAGGACTTACTACCCAGTCTTTAGAATCATTCACTTTTTAACACCAACCTTTGATACTCAGGGAATTTTTATACTTTTAAGACATGCACCATTGTAAAATTCTGGATAGATAAGGATATGTCCTTCTTTCATAAAATAGAAGTACTTAGTTGAAAACAGAGACAGAGAATCTTTAAGATACCTTGACCATACTGTTTTCAAGCAGATTAATATGAGCAAAGAGTAACATATGGAAGTTGAAGATAAAGAACTTCGTTCTCTTAGAAAGTCTATATATGTCACTTTGAAGATAGGTAATGATAAAAGTTCCTCCCCTACTCCCTAGATAATGTGCAATACAATGTGTGCATTCAACAAAATGTGATTAATTAAAAAGTATGGTATGGTTTGCGTAGTTTATGAATACCTGAAAGAGAAAGAGTCAGATAATTATAGATAATTTTACCTGGATCAGAATTCAAATTTCTAGTGATGTGGAGATGACCACAGTGAAAAGTATAATAATATTATAGCTTTAAAACTAACATAAAAATTTAGTTTTTCTTATTACTGTTGGCTTTATTTTAATTTGTAAAGGAATTTTCTATTTTAACATTGTCCCTACACTTTGGCCTGTGTTCATTAAAATTAAGTTTATTAGGATTCTGAACTTTATGGTACACATGTAACCTAGGAAAACTGCAGTTTTGACAGTGAAAAACCACCTGAAAAATAACTTAACAGCCTTTTAATAAGTTAGCTATCACATAAGGGTGATTTTTTTTTTCTTTTTTAATCATTAGATCAGAACCATTACAGAACAATTATTACTGATTGGTGTATTTTAAATGAGAGATTTATAATCAATTTTCAGTTATTCATACTAATAAAAGCCAATAAAACACAGATATTTAAAATGTGTGCCTGACCCCAAATATGTTTATCAGTAAAGCAAACATTGGCTTTACTGTAGTCAACAAAAGATTGAAAAGAGACTGAAGAGATTTTAAAAGATTAGGTCATCTATCCCTGAACCAATAATTTACTGTGTGCTGCTGGTATCATTGTTTAAAAGTTGAACACATAAATTTACATTAACTTGGAAAAGCTCTATGCAATGTCCAGGTTTCAAATATGCAACTAGTAATTTGTTTACCTGTATTTTAGATTATTAGATCATTGTGTAAATGAAGTCAAAATTGTGGGTTTAATTATCCTTCCCATCACTAGGTTCTCTAAAGAGAGAGAACATTCCTATAGACAGCACCTGAGATAGTCAAAAGCATGCCAAGGAAAATCTTGGTACAGTTCTCTCAGAACAGCTCATCAGAACACAGCCAAATAAATTTAATGTCTTCCTGATAGTAGGCCTTCGTTATCTTTTTATATAAAACAGTATCTTTCTGTATATTTTAAGTTTTCAAGTTTTTTGTATGATTTCACTTATATAAAAAGACAAGAAAAGGCAAATGTATAGAGACCAAAGTTTATTAGTGGTTACCAGGGACAGGGGGGAAGAGGAAGAGGTAGGGGTTAACAGTGATGGAAAAAATTGCATTGGATTAAGGGTAGGGTTGTACAGCTAATTATTGTAATTGCTGTCAGTAAGTTGTACCCCTGTAAAAAATTGAACTGACAAAAGTTGTGCGGTAGATACATTTAAAACAATGACAAAAAAAAAAAAAAGCTCCTGCTGAGGCTGCTTATTTAAAACGAAACACTTCATGGGATTTGGTTCCTTGGTTTGGAGATTTAGGATCATAGTTTCATAGGACCATCCAGTTAGTTGGTCTAATATGTTTTTAGTGCTTCTCTTTTATCTCTTAGTTTGTTACATGGTGCCTGGGATCTTAAAAACTTGCAAGTGGCCATCCAAGGCAGGATAATTGGTCTGTATTTGCCTGGAACAACAGATGAAGTAGAGTCAGGAATAAGAGGAGGATATGGAATGTGTGGCTAATTGCCTTCACGAGCAGCTGCCTTCTTTGCCATGAGACCAGAAGAGCTAGATGGTGCCCAGCAACCATTACTGAACATTTTGATCAAAGATTCCATAGAAGAATCCTGATCAAAAGGGCTGAAATGCAGAACAGAATTTCAAATTCTCATGGTTTCCAGTCTTTCTGGAGCCAAAGGGGCTGGATGAACCCCTGGAAGTATTGCCCTGAGATAATCTTTAAAGCTTAAACCAAAAATATCCCCTAAAGTCATCTTAAAGCCAAAGGGTAGTTTAGCTTAACTAGTAAAAAATGTCTGCATTGAGCATTATGCTCTTTGAAGAACTATCTATATGAGATCAAAGTGACAACAGCAACTCAAAAGATTAGATAGGAACCTTGGGAGGGCAGTGAGTTTATGTTAATGGAAGAGGAACAACTCAGAAAAGGAAGGTAAGAATGGTTGCACATCTCGAAGAATGTAATCAGTGTTACTGAATTTTGCATGTAGAAACTTTTGAATTGGTGTATGTTTTTCTGTGTATATTCTCAGCAACAATAAAATTTAAAAAAAAATTCTTCAGGTTTTATCAAGATACTTACAAACATAAATTTTGTAATTCTAGCTAACAATACAGAATACTAGGTCTGTTATTAATAGTAACTTGCTCTAACAGGACAGACCACTTGTATGCCTTCTTCATTCAGTGGAGTCCAGAAATGTATGCAGAAGATACTGGTGAATATACTAGAGAACCGGGATTTATAGTAGTAAAAAAGATTGAAGAGTCTGAAACAAATGAGGATTCTACTAATGAAGCAGCAGCTAAAGAATGGGAGGTAAGGAGAAAAATACCAAGGTTTCATTCATCTTTTTACTTTGTAGGAATTTATAGCTTTGGTGTAATACAGTCAAGTATAAGTGATCTTTGCCCAAAAGGATAATTTTTTTTTTTGAAGGCTCGGGTTCACTGTCCAGGTATATATATGTGTCTTTATTGAATGAATGAGTAGTAATTTTGGTTAATACTGTTTGTCATTCTACTTTTGCTTTAAAATACTGGAAAAGAAACCTATTGGTAATAGAAGGACTTATCACAGTGCTTAAGCATTTGGCTGCTAACCAAAAAGGTCAGCAGTTTGAATCCACCAGCCACTACTTGGAAACCCTTTTGGGCAATCCTACTCTGTCCTATAGGGTCGCTTCGAGTCAGAATCGACTCAACGACAACGGATTTGGGTTTTTTTTGGTTTTATTATTGTGTGTACTTTAGCATATTTAGTTTAGGAAAGAGTAACATTTTGTCAAAGAAGAAAATAATATTAATCACTATTATGCTAGTTTTCATAAAACATTTATTTCATTTCTAGTTCATTTTAATTAGATCTGCATGGAGGCAATACACCAGTCATTTAATACATCCATACAAATTAGCATTCCTTTTCTAAGTTCAAGACCCAAGCCCTATCTTGATGTGATTTTAGCATTAATAATGTTAGAAAAATTAGCCAGTTTTACAAAGTAGTAAAAACTGTACGTGCTCAAACCTGCTGAACTTGTCTAAATGGCCAAATTAACACTAACCAAAATTTTTAACCCCTCTTAGATTTATCTTTTAAGAGTATATATAAACTTTTACATGCTTTGGTTATCTTGTAGGATTAGTAGAATGACAGTATCTGTGTTTGGTTGTTGTTATTGCCTGGATTAATCTCTTCTTGATGTATCAAAAATACAGAGCAGATGCTAAAATGTGATAATAAATGGGATTAATTTTTGTTATCTCCATTTTGTGTTAATGTTTGTGGTTGTTTAAGTGATATGAATGTATTATGCATGTACTTAACATGTATAATGATTGAAGGTATACATGACATGTGTTTTGTTTAAAATGTGAACCTGATTTTGAATGTGTCTAATTTCATTCTGTGTATTATGTATAGCATTGTTTCTACTGTAACTCTAATGAAGAAAAAAAGGAGAGAGGTAACATTTATTGACTACCTATTAAGTTTCAGGCTTATTTAATACTTAAACCAGAATTATTACTCTTCATACCAGTTATATTCACAATAGCTGAAAACTGGAAACAACTTGATTGCTCATCAGTAGGAGAATGAATAAATTTTGATGTATTTGTAAAATCAACTACTATATATCAATAAAAAAGAAGTATCTACTGATACAGGCAGCCAGCAACAGGGATGAATCTCAAAGATAATATGTTCAGTTAAAGAAGGCAGACAGAAAAGAATATATACTGTATAATTCTACTTACGTGAAGCTCAAAACAGCAAAACTAGTTGAAAGTCTGTCAGAGTAGTGCTTACTGGGGGTCAATGGGGTGACTAAGGGACAGGGAGTAACCTGTCCCTTATAACCTTATAGAGTACTGGGGATATTCTATATCTTAATCTGGGTGGTGATTACATGGGTAATTACATATGTAAAAAAATTCTGAGGTGCATATTTAAGACTAATAATTACTTAATTTTATTATTAATTAATTAGCGATTAATAGTCCAGATGATTAAAGATGTGTGCCTGTACTGAAGTGTTTCTTCAGTTAGATTCTGCGTACTACTGGTTAATAACATACATGTTGCTATAGTGAATATAAGTACTGTTTCAAGAAACTAGATGTTAGACAATGCAGATGGATGTGTAACAGGTGAAGGAGTTTTCAGGTCACTTTGATATTTGTGTAAATTTTATTTGTAATAGATTGGATTAGTTTTTATATGGTTCTGTATAATCTGAGGGTTGAAAGGTCCTTATAGGACATCCTATTGCTTAAAAGTGGTCTCATAAACGATGAAATTTTACAGGATTCTTAGATGTAAAGAACAGAATTTTATGAGTGAGTAAACAAGTTATTTGAAATCATTTTTGTAGTTCGGAAGGGGCTCTGAAAACCATACTTACTACTTTTTTTGTGTGACTGAATTACCTTTAGCATGTTTCTTAATGTACTGGTGTTTGGAAATACATGCTCTGTGTCTTTAAACCTTTGAGCCCTTTCTTTGCGTATTTGGGTACCGTGCAACCAAACTTAAGCATGGGAAACTCTCTCCACCCTCCCCGAGCTTTGCATTCTCCACTCAGGACTATATTTGCAATGGATACTACTTAGTGATTAGTTCTCTGTCTTGTCAGTCAAACCTTTGTCTCTAGCAAACCGTTTTGTCACTGTAGTAGTGCTCCTGTGCTGGAAATTTATCTCTGATAGAGAAAGAATGCTTTTGAAAACAGTTCTTACGTGATTTGATGAAACTTAATTTGTCCGGGAAAGGAAATGTCTCGTCTCTGGTATGGGAAAAAAGGGAGAAGATACCAACCAATTAATCATAAATACACTCTGGTAACTCTTAGCTAGTTATTTAAATTCTATATTACTAGCCTTTTTATGGTGGCATTATACAAAATTCTCCAATTTCTAAAAGTTTAAGCATATAAAATATTTATAGAATACTAAATTATATAATGATTGCAAAAATATATCTTTAAATTATTTTTGCTAATCCCAAAATTTTCAAAAAAGGAAATAAGGGGCTGCAATTTTGTTTTATAAAAGTATTTTGGTTTTCCTGTCCTACACCAACAGGAAAGTACCAAATCTTTATTGCTGCCTTGATGTTTTTGTTTCAGCTTAATTTATAGGAAAGCAATTAGAGGTTTTTCTTTTGAAAAGGAAATTTCGATTTAATTTTACTCTTTACATTTATTGTTTTTTTGCATATTTTAAAAAAGTCTTGTGATGTATAAATTTATGGTATGTTTATAGCTTTAGTCCTTCAATAATATGAGTATGTCCTTGCTTAAAAGTAGTGTAGAACACAGTGAATTAACTTTTATTTTTATTGACTAGATCTCAAACTAGATACGTTTAGAATATTGTGTATTTAAGATTGTCATTTTAGCAATCTCAGAAAAGGCTATTCTTTTAACCTATTTAAAAAATTTTCAAGCAGTGCTATCATATAAAATATAAAAAGATACTCTAGTAAAGGAAAATCTCTGTTAACTATTTTAAGAATCCTAGTTATTTTTCATTACAAATATGTGTGCATTACTTGTTACAAAATGTACTTCCAAATTGCTCTTGCTATGGTGATTCAGGATTATATCTTGCCTTATGACTATTAATTTTATTTTTGCTGTAATTGTAGATGATTTGAATAAAGCCAGATGTATAGTTAGCATCAGGAGTGACTTTGGAAAATGCCCCCCAAAACAGTTTGCCTCGCTTAATCATGTGAAAATATCAAAATCACTTCAATTTAGATTATCTTTAATTGAGCATTAGAGTATTTTGCTATTTTTCTTATGTTGAATAAGTTCACATTTTTGTATATATGATACACCAGTACAGTGGGATTTAGGTACCTGAAATGATTGAATTATTTTAAATTGTGATCAGATTTTAGCAGATTAGCCAAATAAGCTTTTTTTTTTTTAACCAAGAACAGTAAGCTATTCATATATTTTCTAATTTGTGGTTTGAATAAATATTTATCATTAGCTTGCTAAGACTTTCCAACAGCTAACCAATGCAATGCCACAGAGTCGATTCTGACTCATAGCAACCCTATAGGACAGAGTAGAACTGCCCCATAGGGTTTCTAAGGCTGTAAATCTTTATGGAAGCAGTTTGCCACATGCTTCTTCCTTGGAGGGGCTGGTGGATTCAAACTGCCTACCTTTTGGTTCTCAGGTGAACACTTTAACCACTGAGCCACCAGCTAAGACTTTACTACAGTTTAATTTATTACAAATATAGGCAAAATCAATTATGGATGTTTTGAGTTTTATAGGTCAGTATGCTGTGCATACATTATTAAACTCACCAGTTCCTATTGTTCATCCTTACAGAAGGCTGTTGTGATATTGTCTGGTATTTTATCTCAGGCCTGTCACTGGTCATTCACAGTCTTCAACTCTACCCGTACATTTTGTATGAGTGTGTGTGTGTTCATTTAAATCCATACTAACCTTGAAACGTCAGTAGTGTCACTCCACATTTTAAAGATGAAGAAACTGAGGCATGGAGTCATCCTTGAACTAGACTCATGGAGCACAGAGACAGCTTGAATCTAGCACCTTTTTTATTTTGCAACGATGCTTTTGAGGATTTTCTGGAACAGTACAGTGTAATGTCTTTTGATATGTAGACAAGTTTAGATCCCAGTTTTCTAGCTGTTTCCCTACGGAAAGAGTAAATATCCTAAAGGTTGTAGGGCCGGGGAAAGGCTTGAGAAGATGAGGCTTAAAAGCATAGCAACTCTGCTTTTATTTTATTTTGAGATTCCCTGTAAGATTTTGGCTGAGAGGGAGGTCTTCTGCTTTAAAACTAAAAATAGAAAATGATTCTTCTAGGAGAAAAATATTTTAGGACAGATGAAATTTCACCTTTTGGACCTTGTATTTTCCAGTTTTTAGAATTCTTCAGACGTTCACTCAACTGATTAGTAGAATAGGATTTATAGACCTCAGTGATTAACTATCGTACAGAGGTAGTAATAATATGGCCGTTTGAACCCACCCAGAGTTGTCTTGGAAGACAGGCCTGGCGATCTGCTTTTGAAAGGTCACAGCCTTGAAAACCCTATGGAGCAGTTCTACTGTGCACACACACGGGGTCGCCAGGAGTTGGAATTGACTCAATAGCCACTAACAACAACAACATATTTCTGTAAACTTTGACAGTTTTCTAAATTCCTGTGTATACATTATTTTGACCTTTATAGTAACCCTGTGTGTTAACCAGGGACAGACTATTTAATATATGAGCTAATCTAAGGCTCAGAGAGATTAATTAAAAATAGGTAAAATACACCCCCAATAAAATGTGTAGAATGAAGTTATATCTTTGCCCTTTAGCTTCAGTGAGAACCATGTTAATCAGGCATGCTCTCCTTTCCTTTCCTTTTTTTTTTTTTTGAAAGGCTGTCTTAGAGTTTATTCTGACAAACAATTTGAACTTTAATCTGTAATCATTCATTTACTTTAACTAATATATACCTTATATTTTTAGTGGCTCAATATATTATAATTTGCTTGAAAGTTATAAGCCTATTCTGTAATAATGATTTAAGCTTAATCAGATGACAGACACAAATCATTGAATAGCAACATTGTTTTACTATATCAATAGTTCACTAATTTAGTCACCTGTCTTTAGACCCTTATATATGGAAATACGGTAATTTTTTCTTTTTTTTCAGTTTTTTGGCTATCCTATATGAAAACATAGGTAAAAAGCTCTGATGATGAATTATTTACATCTGTGCATGAATTAACCTATAGGTAGAATTTTAAGAGGGGCTAATTTAAATGTAAAAATCTTTCCAATGACCTTAGCTCAAGATAATAATTATATTAATGCTAAAAATAATAATTACCACTACTGACACTATGTAGTAAGTATTGTTTTAAGCACTTAACGTGTTAGCTTATTTAATCCTCACAACCCTGGGAAGTAGTACTGTTTTCATCTCCAGTTTACAAGTGAAGAAACAGAGGCATACAGCAGCCATACTATAACCAGTAAAGGTCAGAGCTGGTGTTTGAATCCAGGCATACTGTCTCTAGCCCATGCCTGTAAGCTCTTTTCTACATTCTTTCTCAAAATCTTCAGAATATAACTAGGGGAAGGGAATTAACATTTATTTTGCACCCTTCATGTACCAGAATCTATTTCATATATCCAAATAAAAAATAAATTCAGTTGCCGTCAAGTTGCTTTTGACTCATGGCAACCCCATGTGTCAGAGTAGAACTGTGCTCCATAGGGTTTTCCATGGCTGAATTTTTGGAAGTAGATCACCAGGCCTTTCTTTCAAGGTGCCTCGAATGTAATGAGTTGATATGCAGACAGGTTTAGGTCAATTTCCTAGCTGACTACCTAAGGTGAGAGTAGATATCCTAGGGGTTGTAGGGCAGAGGAAAAGCATAGCAACTCTGATTTTGTTTTATTTTGAAATTCACTGTAAGATTTTGGCTGAGAGGGGGCTCTTTTGCTTTAAAACTGAAAATAGAAAATAATTCTAGGATATCTGTTTGTCTTAACTATTAGGAAGCTTTACTGCTGTGTTGTGTTAGGCATATATTTTTTGTTTGGCCTGCAATATGCTGTTTGAATCTATGGATTTCATGAGTTCTAGAAAATCCGCAGGTTTTCTCCTTTAAATATTTTCTCTTTTTTTCTGGGTCTTTGATTAGAGTATAGTCCATCTTCTCATTCTCAATATCTAACCTCTTTTATATTTTTCATTTCCTTGTTCTCAGTAGTGCATTGTGTGTAATTTCAGCTTTGTCTTTTAATTTACTAATTCATCTGTCTATGGTGATCTGCTTTTTACTTGTCAGGTTTTTTTTTTTTTTTTGTGGTTCATCAGTTATATTATTTCTATAGAAGTTCTGTTTGGTTCTTTTTCAGATCTGCTCACTCATTTTTTTAATCTCTGCTTAGCTTTAGAATTCCATCTTTATTTATTCTTAGCATCTCACTGTAGTTTATATATCTGATAATTCCAGTATCTAAATTGGGTTCACTGTTTTAGCTTACTCGTAGTTATGATGTGTTACTTGTGTGTTTGATTACCTTTCATTATGAGCTCACATTTGCTTAATCTTCATTTGTGAAAATCTTAATTGAATTGAGGGTCTTTTCTCTCTGAGAGGTTTTGTTTCTCTCAGGAGCCAGATTATGTGATATATCTGGGACAACTGAATCCTGTCTTGTGGGTCCCTGACTAAATGCAAGAAATTCAAGTTTAGCGCTCAGATTCGGCTGGCCCAAAGCTTAATCTCAGCATCACAACACTGCTACTGACATTAGTCTTCAGGGTAAGCCACCTTTCCCATTCACAGCTCCCAGCTGATTTTCCACTCTTTTCTTTTTTAATCGTGGGACATAGTAGATGCTTTTAAAAATGTCAAAATCAGGAATAAACATAGTGATAGACTGAACTTTATCAGTGGGAAAAAAAGTCAGAAATTTAAAATCCTATTAAATATTTAATAAATAGTCTTATAACATCCTTTTCATTCCTTTAAGTTTTACAAAACCCCATTAACTTCAATATATAAATTTGTAGTCAGAGAACAAATGAATATAAAACAATTAAGTGTTCAGAAGTGACCTTATGTTTCTTTTGCTTCAAAACTATACTACTGGTCTGTTGACCGTAACAGAACATTAAAGAATTCAAAATTCTGTAAATGAGTGTTCTTTTTCCATGATGGGCTATGGAAAAAATGAGATTCTTTCCTTGTTAATGAGACTGTCATTACGTTTATTTATCGTTCCAGAAATCTAATATAATATACACATATTAGAATTGAGTGGTTTTGAGTAGTTACAGGTTTTTTACTAAAACAAGAGTGAATAAATATATCTGTTTTCACATGAAAATCTAAGAATCATCTGAAAAAATATTTAATTAGGAAGTGACTTGAAATATAGAATATTTGGTCAAATTAAAACCTCACTAATATGTTTTCTAATTTGAATTTGTTCTTGATTTAAATATTTTTTCTCTACTAGATCTATTTTCCAGTAGACTAATTTCTTATTTTATATTTGCTCCTTTTGTATCTCATTTGTTATGGTTCCATGAAATGTTATGTTGAAAGCAACAGGTTTAAGGCAATATGGAGCAAAGATTTAAAATAATAGAATTCTCATTTTATAATAAAGACTGTTGTGTAAATGATGAAATGTAGTAGACCATAAGGCTAGGTAATTTCAAGGATACTATTTTATGCCCTTTTTGTTTCACTGTAACAGCTTCAGATTTGCATTTCCTCCTGCTTTATCATATTTTTGGATATACTAGAGTAAGTTTAAATGGCATTAGTTAGATAGTATTTTTCTCTCTACTCCATCGCATTCTGATAAGAAGAAATAAAAATGACACATTCACAGATACCTGTAAGACTTTGTTTGCCTGCAAGATAATTGGGGGAGGAGACGTTCTGGTTGGTTTGTGGGATAATCTCTGGGGAATTGCTAGGATATTCTGGAAGAAGGAGTATTAGGCCAAGGTTTTGGCCTTTATGCCTGAGATGAGCATGTTCCTATTCATGGGATTGACAGCAACTATAAATTTTCTCTACTCTGCTTTTGTTGTTGCTAGTCCTTTAAGAAGTAGGTGTAAGTCCTTTTGTATCAGACATGGGTGGATTTGATCCTTCCTTTACACAAATAAATGCACAGGAAGACACTATCTGTGTGAGAGTCCTTTGTAGAAGACTGAAGAGACTGGAGAATGGCACTAAATTCTGTAGAGGGTTGATCATGGTACTTAGTTTCTTCAGATGGGACTTGGTAGTGAATGCAGACCTCTTTATTCCTTGAAAATGACTTTTTTAGCCAGTCAATTAATACACTTTAAATTGGAAGGTCTTTCCTCAACTGTATGCCCTGAATAATCAGGAATGTGATGTGGGATATTTTGTAGAAATTGTCCATTTTCTACTTAGGTTTAATGGTATAAATTCTCTACCTGGATAAAGTAATAAATTCTGTATGTGGCATATGATTTACCAAGGGGCTGAAAATTAATTTAAGACTGAGTCCAGTTCAATCATATATACAAGGAATCTACATCTCTTTTTACTTAATTTAAGAAGAGGAGGTATATTTCTATAATCACTTGATTTCAAATCCTTTTCCTCTATCTTTTTGACAGTTTTGTGTATCTTCGTTTTACTCATGTGGGCATGAGTAAATATTTAGAGTTGAGGAAGTGGTGATTTTATAAGTCCCAGAAAAGAATAGTTTTCTTTTTTTTTTTTTTTAACACAAATGAAAAAAATAAGAATTATGGTATTAAAGAAATTACAACTTTACCAAGTATTATAAGCTTAGACTTAAGATGACAGCTAATTGTTCTCTCATTAATTACTCCTACTCTCAGTGATACTGATATAATTAGGCTATAACTGAACCCTTTTGTTAGCATAATTCAATGTTGCTTCTGTCTCAGAAGTGTGTTTAATATTCTAAAAGAAAAAACTTCAAGAAATAGGTGTAAGATTATTGTTAGCTAGAGGGATTGAAGGAATGCAGAGGAGTAGGTAAGTCATGATTTGAAAATTCTTGACTGTATTAAGGAGACACTTGTTTAGGCTGAATGCCTTGGGAAAAAGACAGACAAATATAACTAGCCATTTAAATATTTTGTAGAGAGCTCTCTTTTGCTGGCCAAAGAAAAGTAAGGCCATGATTTTTAGTACCTAATTTTTCTTTCATCTTTATTGAAAAATTTATTGTTCTTAATTGAAAGGTCTTTTTTTAATCATAATACTTAAAGTTAAAATTAAATTTCAGAGTAGTCATTCAAAGTATATAAAATAGTTGAGCGCTCAAAACTAAAATCTTTTAATACTAAAAATAAAAACAAAAAAGGAGACTCTTTAGCCACTATCATTTAGTCCTCAGGGTAATTGGTGAAAAGTGATCAAGTAAAAATAATAATAGTAACTCTCATTTACTGTGTGCTAGGCACCATACAAGGAGCCTCATAGTGCAGCGGTTATGTGCTCTGCTGCTAACTGAAAGGTTGGTGATTTGAACCCGGCAGCGACTCCGGGGGAGAAGAGACCTGGCAATCAGCTCCCGTAAAGATTTCAGCCCAGGAAACTTATGGGGCAGTTCCGACTCTGTCATACAGGGTTGCTATGAGTCTAAATCAAGTCAGAATCGATCGACTCAGTGGCACACAACCACAACAGGCACCATATACTCAGTTTTTTGTATGCTTTTCCTCATTTAATCTACATGAAAACGCTATTTGATATATACAGTTATTATTCCCATGTTTTATGAAGAAATAGATTCAGAAGGGGCTAAACCCAAGTCCATCTGACCTCCCAGAGCTAGAGACCTTAACCACTGTGGGATTCTTTGCAAGTAGCGTCAGCTACCATTGTATATATTGTTGCTTTGCAAAAGTCAGTATAGTAGTAACGGTCACGATAGAGCCCTGCGCACTCTCTCTGTCTTTTTTCCCTCTCTCCTTTTTCATAGCTTTGACAGGTTTGCATAGCTTTTCATAGAGTTACCTTGATATTTACCAGCAGCTAATTCATTCTATTTGACTAGAACATGGGACTTTTAAATAAAACCCAGGTTAGACATCCAGACTTTTTATGGGCCAGTTATTTAACTGCATTTTGTGGTCATAGCCGCTATGCATATCTGTTCTAACTGATTGATCACACGAGGAATTAGTCATAGCTCAGGAGAATCAGCACAAAGTTATAGCACACCACAGTTCAGTATATTGTGGTAACTGTTTTGGAAATCTTAAAAAGCTGTACCTGTTGTCTCAACCTGAAAAAACTTGTCTTATTTTTGTGTGCTTTTCTGTAGCAATGTTTATATACTATGTTTATTTGTCATGTATGGCTTGTAAATTCAGCACTATGCAAGTGACTGATCTAGGCAATTATAGAAGATAGAGAGTTTCCCTTAGAAAGTTAGAATGTAGTAGTAGTTAAGTTTTAGTGGCAAATAACTGCTACAGTATAAACCACAAAGAAATAACATAGAAGAGGGACAGAACTAGAAAAAGGCATTTTAAAAATCTGAAGTAGACATGCCTAAGAAGGTACTGTTAATTAGACATGCTTTTGAAAATCTAATTTTCTACTTTCTAGTATTTATTTTTCTTATTGCCTTAGGTTTTAAGGTTTTAAAATTTACTTCATACCTTTGTTTTGCTCCCTTCCCTTCTTTTTTCTGATACAGATCATGTAGCATGGGTATGTTTGTCACCTTCGCATAGAAGAAATTCTTCCAGCATGGCCATTATGATATAATGTTTGAGCTAAACTGATTTGGAGGGGAGAGTTTGAAACTACCGCTTTCTTTGTAAATTGCAAGACATTTAAATTTTAATATTATCTTTGCTGTTAGCAAAGCATGTTATATTTTATTTAGTGTTTCCTTTTTAAACAGTGAAAATTCTATTTACTAAATTCAGACTTCTATGTGAAATAAATCTTCCTATAACCGCAACTAGTTGCATGTAGTGGTTGAACTCAGTCATACATATTTCTCTCTAGTTTGGTATATACATCTCTGGAATTTTCATCACGGAGTTGGGAAAACATCCTGATTTTCTTTTATGGTCTGCCATGAGTATAATTATCATAGGAACTCATGGAGTCCCACAAAACATATATACATAATATATATGAAATAATAATAGTGATAACATTTTTGCTTTCTTTACAGTTCTTTCCCCTTTCAAGTTTCCCCACTGGGTTTTGTTTTTGGGGGCTTTTTTGTTTGTTTGGTTGGTTGGTTGCTTTTTTGTTTGTTTGTTTTTTTACAGTTTCTCTTCAACTGTCAGTGGAATTATTATCTTCCTGTCTCCATATTCAGGTAGTGTCAGTGGCTGAGTATCACCGCAGGATCGATGCTCTAAATACTGAAGAACTGCGCACACTCTGCAGACGTCTCCAGGTGCCCCCTTCAGTAGTTTAACCCCCTCCAGAGATTGAACGCTCCCTGTTTTTAGTGTCCTTTGTCAGGGCAGATCTCACATTCGAAAAATTTGTTTTTACTGCAACACTAAAATAACCCACCAGAAAATTCCTTTTTGTATTAAAGAGTACAGTATTGTCTTGAAGAGATGTAGGATTATATTTTCTGCCATCTTTTCATTTGAAAAATATTCAAAGGAATTTTCTGTAACTTTGTAACTGTTTTCAGGACTGTGTGTTTGTTAGAGTAATGAGTGTTCTTTTAATTTTAACATTGGAAGAGTATCTCTGGGCTCGCAATTGAATCTTTACTAAAAAGAATCTGAAAGGTGTGTGCTACTGTTGGGAAATTTTAAAATTTTTATTATATAGCAAGGCTTAAGTATTTACTCTTCTTTAAGGCTGTTTCAGTTGTATCAACCCCACGTCAAATATCTTAGTGGGAGAAATTGTTTTTTTCTTGAGGCATTCCTGGTTGGTGTTCTTATCTTGATTGGAATAGTATAGGTTAGGCTCTAGAGTATAGGTTAGGTACCAGAACTAGAAAAATTATTTGAAACTCCCATGAAATAATCTTTGTGATTTTTAGAAATGAGAAAGTGATAAAATTTAACCAAAAATGATACAATTAAACTCATTTTCCAGCTTTGTGCATTATTAGTTGTGTGTGTTTCCTCTTCTCAATAAGATGTGCTTTTATGGCTTTGCTAAACCTGCTAAATTGTTTTTCTTTTCTTTTAATGTTTCTAACGCCATTTTGGATTTATTTTTAACCTTTCACATCATCAAAATAAGGGTAAAACATTATGATGATGTGAAAGAATACATTTCGCTTCTCATCAGAAAACAGTATAGCTCTAGAACATGTATTGGTTGAAAATACATGCTCTTCAGGTTTGATAAGAAATCTGTTTAAGGAACAAAATAATTTAACAAAATTCCATTCCTGTATGGAATCATAGTCACTGAGCATTGCTGCGTTTTAGTTATCTGCTCCAGTAAAATTCTGTATATTTTCCATGTTAAAAGTTTTATCAATAATAGCTAGTTTCATATCTTTTACTTTCTAATGTTACGTTTTACATATTAAAATAAAATTAATATTAAAAAGTAAGCACCAACAGTACAGATCATATAGTAGTAAGCTTATTTGAGTTAATCAGCATTTTTTATCATTGTAAGAGTATCAGTGAGATAATTTCCATAAAGCAAAAACATATATTCTTTTTAATACAGCAAATTGATCTAATTTAAAAAATTAATTTATGAACAAATGAAAATGTTTTCTGTTTGGTCCAGCAAGATAAAAAATTCAACATTTACCAAGTAGAAAATGAAGGCATTTAAAACTAACGGCAGCTTTTTAAATGAAGTAAATATGTGTATTTTTAAATGAAGTAAATGAATATGATGTGTGCATATGTAAACACATGCACACACCGTATTTTATGCAAATAACGTGCCTTTAGCTTTTGTTTGCTGACCGCGCCGTGGCCCCAGGAGATATTTTGTAAGTGTACTGTGCTAATTTTTTTATAGCAACATGTGGAAGAGGATGGGCATGGCGGCACTTGTGAGGTTGCCTCGTGGGGAGGGAGGAGAACGCTGCCAACAAACACAGAATGTGCACTTTATTTGTGTAAAAATACAGTATATACAGGAGCCTCGGTAGCGCAGTGGTTAAGCGCTCAGCTACTAACTGAAAGGTCGTCGGTTTGAACCCACCAGCTGCTCCGTGGGGGATAGATGTGCAACGGGTTTGGTTTTGTGTTTTATATATATATATATAAATGAAAAGAAAGTTATACACTTTCTTCTACTACTGTTTAAATTCATTTTTGACACCCAGGAAGTTTTCTTAGTTATTTTTGGCAAATTTTATGTTTTCCATGAAAAAAAGAATTTTACATATTTTAAATAGGGTGAATAAAAAGCAGTTTAGCTGGCTCACTTTTATCTTTCAAAGGGCTAAATTTAAAGTTTGAATGCGTCTGTCTCCTTTTACACAGAAATACAAGGATTCATCATTCATTATCAGCCCTTCCTTCATGTACTGGATGAGAAAAAAAGGCTGCTTAGAATTAAAAAAGTCTTTTTCTGCATTGGATACAGCATTGTTACTTGATGGAGCAGGTTTTACCTTATAAAATCCTGAATTAAAGCTATAGCCACCTTTTCTGAAGTGTAAAGTTTTATTTCTCAAAAGGCTGAAAAAATTTTAAAGCATGTCACAATTTTATATTAATACACTACCACTGTTGTCTTTTTTAGATTACTACAAGGGAAAACATAAATTCAAAGCAGGTTACTCCATTAAAAGCAGACCTGGAGTCTGAGTCATTTCGACCAAACCTAAGTGATCCCAGTGAACTCTTACAGCCAGATCAAATTGAAAAGGTATGACATGTCCACATATATATGCCCATGATAGTAAAAGCCTCTTTTCAGTTATTTTTAAAACTGAAGAAACAAGGTTATTTCTACTACTGTGTGTCTGCCACGAAGAAAAAGTAGGCAAAATGCAATTTAGGTGAGTGACTATAATAGCCAATATTTAAATTCTTAAACTGTCGCTTGCTGTATGTGGAGTATCTCCTTTAATTGTCACAACAGCTCTAGGAGTTGGATACTTATTGAGCACATTTTATAAGTGATGAAACTCAGACATAGGTTGAGTGACTTGTCCAAGGTCACACAGCTATAACGTATAGAAGCTTGATTTCTAACTCTGATAGTCTGACTCTGGAGCCCATTATTTGAAAGGTATTTTAATAATCAAGGTAACCATCCAGTATTTTTATCAATTAGAGATACCACAAGCCACAAGTGATCCATGTTTCTTGTGTCTGTTCTAATCTGTATCTTGTTCAGCATGATTTTTTCCTTTCCTGGTGGCAATATGTCATGCTGAGAAATATATAGTTACCTTTCAAGCTCTCAGTACCCCTGAGAAAGTTAAAGAATTTATACTATTATTTTCTTCTTATAGCCTACATGTTATAAGTACCATTAAATTCCAACTGACATTTGAATTCTACATACTGACAGTAAGCTATTGTCTTAGTTACCTAGTGTTGCCCTAGCAAAAGATGCTGCAAGTAGGTGGCTTTAAAGAACAGAAATTTATTTTCTCACAGTTCCTAGAAGCTAGAAGTCCAAATTCATGGTGTAGCTCTAGGGGGAAGACCTTCTTTGTCTATTTCAGCATCTAGTAGCTGCCAGTAATTCTTGACATTCCTTGGCGTCTGTCATCAGTCTTTCCCCCCCTCCTCCTGGTGTTACTGTGTCTGTTCACTCTTTTTATAACTCAGACACATCCTATTCTGGCATGGCAGCATTAACATAACAAAAGAAAATCCCCGTTTCCAAACAGGGTCATATTTACAGGTACAGTGGTTAAGATTTCAACACATATTTTGGTGGGGGGGTGGGGTCACAATTCAACCCATAATAGCTATCAAGTAAATGTTAGCGTTTTCTTTTTCAAAGCTTACCAAACATCTTCCACCAAGAACAATTGGCTATCCATGGACTCTTGTTTATGGTACTGGGAAGCATGGCACAAGCTTGAAGACCCTTTACCGAACAATGACAGGTTTAGACACCCCAGTGCTAATGGTGATTAAAGACAGCGATGGCCAGGTATGAAAAACTAACTGCATGTTCACCTTACCTTTTAAGAGATTAGAGTAGCAGTAACTTTTAGTGTATCCCCTTTAGAAAAATAATTTTCATTAAGTTTAACAGATAATTATTGAGTACTTTTAAAATACAAGGCAGTGCTGAGTGCTACAAAAGATGGATATGAGCATGAATAATTAAGAGTTCTTGCCTTCAAGGAGATTACAGTCTGATAGAAGATTAAAGTACACCAGTATTGCTAATGTTGAGCAAAATATGCTAAGTGTAGTAAGAGCCCAGAAAAAGTGAAAGGAGTATTTATTCAGAGAGTTGCTCGTATCTATTTGGGGGAAATAAGAATGAGCTTCATGGAAGGGGTACAGATTGATAAGAGTCTTGAAGCACGGGTACAGTTTTGATAATTGAAGATAATTTTGTGAAGGTGATAGCAAGAAAAGAGAAACATTGGTTTGTCCTTGAAACAGCAAGTTCAGGTGGGTTACCAGCATTGGAGAGTAAAGAGAGGGTAAAATAGTGATGTTAATTTAAAAAAAGAAAAAAAAATTACCACTATTAATATCTTTAGTGTATTTATTATATTCCAGGAACTGGGCTAATCACTTTATATGCATTATCTTATTTAATTATCAAAGCCTATGAGATTGGTAGTAGTAGTATCCCTGTTTTAAGGATGAGTTAACTATGATTTAAAGAGGTTCTCACCCAAGGTTGTACACCCAGTAAAAGGTATTTGCAGCAATGAAAATGAATGAACTACTGCTATATGCCATATATGTCCCATAAACATAGTATTGAGTTAAAAACCAGACACTAAGAGTAACTTCTTATGGTCTCATGAAGCAAATCTTACAGTGTTGTCAGGTTAGTGGCTTTCTTCTGGGAGGTGGGGGTGTAATGCAGAGGAGGAATGAGGAGAACTTTTGAAGTGCTGGTAATGTTCTTTTTTTGGTTTGGGTAAAGGTTAAATGTGACTTTGATAATTCCAAATTGAGGTGTACATTTATATTTTGTGTACTTCTCTCTATATATAAAATAACATTTCGATAAAGTCTTTTAAAATTAAGGCTATAAAAATAGAATATCAGAAGAGACAGTGACTGTAGAGATCATCTATGAAACATATGCAGTCACATTTTATGTTGTGGAAATGTGTATGTCTGTTAGTTATGCATTCTCTTATTATGGCATTTGCTATGTGTCTTATACTGTGCAAGGCCATGAGGTTACAAGGCCAAACAATTCAGACCCAAGACCTGCCCTCACAGAGTTTACTGTCTAATAATGAAGGGAAGAAATAGTTTACCTTTTTATAATAGAATGTTTACATATACTGAGGGTTTTTGCTTCCCTAAGTGCTATATTCCCACAGCAACATGTTATCCTTATTGTATATACAGTGTACTTAAAAGTCCTCCTAAAATGCATAAACCACTTTTTAAGATTGTATGTTTAATTCTTATAAAAGCCCTTTTAGATTTCAGAACTAGAAAAAAAATTAATTTTTCCTCATTGAGAAACTGGTATGGTTTATACTTGACAGTAATGTGAACTATATAGCAACTGCATGTTTCCCTTTTGTCTTTGGCTTTTGGGAAGCTCAGTGGCCTGCCTTTATACATATGCACGTATATAAAAGACTCGTGATTGTCATACTTGTATTTTTTACTTTGTTCTCACTGTCTGTTGTACATGTATTTTCTGCAAGCATCCTCAAAAGCTTTGTGAAAAAAAAAGAAGCAGGATATAATTTTTTTTAATACAAGTAGATAACACTACCAGATATATATATTTTTTTTTGCATTTTATTTAGAATTATGCGATAATGTTTAATGAAACACATTAATACTCATTTCATTTAACATGCTTTTTTTTTATTCTTAGATTTTTGGTGCATTAGCATCTGAGCCATTTAAAGTGAGTGATGGCTTCTATGGTACTGGAGAGACCTTTGTTTTTACATTCTGTCCAGAGTTTGAGGTAAGGACAGTTATTCCAATATTCTGTTTATAAAGAACTGACATAATGAGAAAAACATGGACTTTGGCAACACGCACACTTCATTTTACTCCTGTTTCTGCCTTTTACTGATAATTTAGCCTTTCTTTGACCATTTGGGGCTTCAGTTTTCCTGTAGATAGAATACCCATTGCTGTTGAGCCATTTCCAACTCATAGCGACCCTATAGGACAGAGTAGAATTGCCCTGTAGGGTTTCCAAGGAGCGCTTGGTGGTTTCGAACTGTCGACCTTTTGGTTAGCAGCTGTAGCTCTTAACCACTATGCCACCCAAGGTTTCCGTCAATAGAGTAGGGATCATAAAATGTCACAGGATTGCCTGAAAATTACATAATAATGTAATTTATGGACAATGGTTGGCATGATACCAGACACAGATCAGGAGCTTAGTCAGGAATATATATCACTATTACTATTCTGTTTATGAATTATCATTGTGAAATTCCTAGAAAAATTTAATGACTAAATAAATTTAATGATGTAAGTCCTGAAAACCTAAAGAATAAATTATTTGGATTTCAATCAAAAGTGATTAATCAATTTTTTTTTTCTTTATTCGGTGTGGATACCTTAACTGTGTCTTAACTAACTTAAATCAAATACATTCTAATGCCAAAAACGTCAAAAATGAATTTTAGTGAATGTGTGACTCTGCTTAAAACATTGAGACCAATACTAGCATCTCAGGTACAATGAGGTTCAGCACGTCAAACCTTCCCTAAGAGATTTAATTATGCTTTAATCTTGAGAAAAGGAATCAATAAAGTTGGTTAAAAAGAATAAAAAGAGTGGCATTTAGGAACAATTTTTATAATGAACAAAAATAGGAGAATTTGGTAACATAGTAGTGTCAAGGAGCTGAGCTAAGAGAGCTGAGCTGAGTTGCCAGATGTTGAAAGTAGCCAGTTAAGACAAGCCAAAATGAAAGTTATAATCAAGCCTTTAATCACTCCACCTCTCTTCCATTTTCCTCCATGGGAAGGAGCCACCTTGCCAGCATCTAAGGATCAGTGGAGACAAGGAAACCCTGAACAAAAGGCTCCTGCAGTTTTATTTTCTGGGGAGGGGTTAAAGGGGTAGGAGTGGAAAAGTACTGAGTACTGCATTAGAGTGGGAAAAGTCTTCAAGGTTTCTCCCCACTTTCCCTGATAAGGAGGTTTTAGTAGAAGCATCTGAGGAAGCTCTGCTGAGTTCTCTGAATGAAGGGGCCTGGGCTAGGAATGCAGATATGAGTAAGAGTATGGCCATCGTAAGGCCTGTGGCCATCAGGTGGGCCAGAGTCATTGACTGCAGTTCCCTTCAGGGACTGCAATGCATGGGCTATGCACAAAGTGTGGTGTGGGGAGGGCAGCTTTTCCCCCTGAGACGTGCCAGGTAAAGAGTCTCTACGGCAATGGGTTTTTTTGGTTTTGTGGTCCAGCCTGAAAAATCACACATAGGTTTAGCCAATAGCAGATTCCTCAAGTAGAAGATCTCTTAACAAACTTGTGCTTAAGTAGCTAACCAGATCAACCATACTCTCCATTCCCTCCATAAAGCATATCAACTGATGTCTACAGCTCGCTAAAATACCCATCCATACACACTAGTTACAGATTTTCTAAACTTCAGTTGTGCTTGTTCTCAAGCCTGTTTATACTATTTCTACCTGATACTGTAATAATGTCATTAATTAAATGTTAAAAAAAAATAAGTGTTAAAAGAAGGTTTATTTAAATAAATGAAATGGAAACTTGATGAAGGTGAGTTCCTAGAAATTGCTGTTTCTTTGACTTGGGTAAAACACAAAAGATCAGAAAGAAATATTTAAGAATGCCATTATCTAAAAGGTTTTGCCATCAGATTTCTCAAGTCTCTGTAAGTTCTCACTTCTCTTGAAAGAAATTAGAACTGGAAATCATAATTATACATGCATTATAGACATAGTTTATATAAAAATGATGATCAGCAAATCCATACCCAAAGTAAAGACCTTGGCCATATTTCAAAATATTATCAAATTAATGTACATTTATGTTTAATGTTAAAAGTAAAAGTTGATGATGTCTGTATCATTTTTTAAAACCGATCCTGCTGTCTTCAACTTTTCCCATTAAGCAACAATTCTTGGCACCTATAGATTGCAAAAAGAGAAGTGTTTGTGAAGAGAGACCAAGATTGGAGGAATTATAATTGAGTACATGCTGTAGTAGCTCATGTGCTTTCAAGTTTAGTCATACCAACACTGAAACCCAAAGCACCAGACCTTTCTGTCCCAAGCTTTATTGTTGTGTTCCTACTACTATCAGTTTAGGCTTTGTTAATGCTTTTAGGTTTTGGAGAACTATGTATAGTAACCATTTTCATCTACATGTGTTAGATAGATAGATGCCTTTCTCTACTAAAGATAATTTGTTATTTAAAGTTTTTTTTCTTTTGTGTAGGTCTTTAAGTGGACAGGAGATAATATGTTTTTTATCAAAGGAGACATGGATTCACTAGCTTTTGGTGGTGGAGGGTAAGTCTCTTGAACATTTTACCCTGAGATTCTTAAACTTACTGCATTTGGATTATTTATAAAATCAGTTATCTTTGGAAAGTTTTGTCATTAGAGTCCTAATTTGTACGTAATGAGACAAACTATAACGTATTTGCAAGAAGGTGCTCACGTGCAGTATTCAAAACTATTGGTAGAATATTTGTTCATTTTAAAATGCTGTTTAATTGGTTCCCTTTTGACTGAAGACCATCTTTGTGTTTAGAATACAGTGACTCCTTGGTATTTGAAAGGGAAATATGCCAACACCTTTTGAACTCTCAAATTTTTAAATAACGTTGTTGGTGTGTTATTTCTACCAGTGTATAAAGAACGCCCAATTATTTTCATGTTCTTTATCCTATAGACTGTTTGGACTGATATTTTAGAAAACAATAGAAATTTGTTTTCCTACAAGAAATTTTAGTGACCTCCAAGTTTTCAGGGTTGTTTTGTTTTTAACACTATGAGTCAGTCAGTAATTTCATGTGATTTCTTTTGATATAGGAAGCACTACAAGAAACTTTTTCTTAATCTGGTATCCCAATCTCATTTAGATTTTAGTGTTTGGAGGTAGCTTTCTCTGCTGCCTCCTATCCTGGCCTTCGCAAATAGCACTTGGCAAACAACATCTCTGTCCTTCAGGATCAGATATAAAGTATGCTAAATAATTCCCCAGATGTGAAAGCCTTAGTCAAATTATTTTTAGGCCACAGTTGAGGATTTATAATAACAACTCATTCAGGCCTCAGGTTCTTGTTAGCCTTCAGGAATATTTATCCTGAGTGAATCTAACAAATTCCTTTAAAACTTCACTGTAGATAGATCTCTGGACAATATGATTTCAATGACTGAAAAATACCCATGGTTATTGTAGCCTTCTCTGAAGGACATAACCAGGTAATTTAAAAAACATATTATTTTAGTTATTGGACTCAGCATACAATGTTTATATGATACAATTACTTTTTTTTTGGTGCATGGTCATTCAGCTCTCCCCTAAATGGTGGTCTTACATGTGATTCAGTTAGCTCTCCTGGTAGGCCTCACAAGCAAGGGGCTTATAATTCAAGCTGTTAAGGGTACCTGAGTCTTTGAAAATGATATAAAACATGTCATTGGATTTCTGATGAAAGTGGATTTTGATTGTACAGCATGACCTTACGAAGCTAAACTAACCATTGATATTAAGATAAATTTCCAGTCTTTGAAGAAGAGATTACAAGCTTAGAAAACAGGAGCTACAGGGACTTGATATTCTAGAATTCTGAATAGAAACTCCAAAGAAATCGAAATCATGATGTGGTGGACTGAATCCATGCTTTAGAGCCAAATAGACCTGGTTCAGATTCCAGCTTCAACATATACTACATGTGGAACCTTGAGCAAACTCCCTAGTATGTCTAAACTTCCCTCAGCTACAAATTGGAGATTGATCTCGCTGGCAGTCAAGAGAAATTCATTGAGATATAAACTATGTGCAAATCCTAGTAGTATAGTAACTACCGCATAGTAGGTACTTAACAGATGATAGCCATCATTACTCATTTCCTTCCATCTGTCATCATCTTTTCTCTTCTGTGACCATAGAAGGAGCTTTACCTGCATTCTGCCTGTGATGCCACTGGACACCTCCCAAGTTATATGATATTAATTAAGGATTTGGAAGACTTGTTTTATCCCCTCCACTCCCTTAGCCATTATGTTCTCAGGAAGCCATACGAGTCATCCTTGAAAACAGTGCTCGTATAGAAATGTACTTTCTGTGTGTTTCATCTGAGACAGATCTATAACCCTTAAATATATTTTCTTAAAATTTGAGGGGTCACAGACACCATCTAAATGCTAGTGAAACCATGCACCCTGCCTCCTAAAATGAATATGCAAACCAGATTTTGCTTAGAGTCTGCAAACTCTGAAAGCTTCCAGTTGGGTTCAGAAGGTTCAGGTTGCCATTCCAACTTGATGCGAAGCTTATTGCAGAATTAATGCTATTATTCATGAGAAGCTTGGGGTCAATTTTAAGGTAGTCATCTAAGATTACAACTAAATACAACTAAATGTCTAATCTTTTTTTTTTTTAACCCTATTCATATTTGGCAAAGGGAGGACTCTAAGGAAATTCAACCCTGTCCTATTCTCCTGTCTAATAGGCTGATAACATTTCAGGGCTTCAGCTTAGTGGTTCTGTCCCCACTTTAAAAGACACATTGATTCACATCTCTCTTTAAGGGTAGGTTGATGCTATGAGTATTAGAGACTCTAGAGGTCGATTACCATAAGATGCTGAACTCATTATTTCAAATAGTTTGTAATTTATCTTTGTGTTTTCCAGTGTGTAACAGTTTCTGACCCACAATAGTTGCAGATATAAAGTTGAACAAATAAATCGGTCAAACATGAATTTCAAGTTGTACCTTAAAAAAATTATGGCTTCTTCAAGGGTAGGGAAGGGTATTTTAGGGACTATATTTAAAGTGCATTTCTGCCTAACCAAATCAGAGACTCTAAGCTGGAATCATTTCAGGATCATCTCGTGTCTTAGCAAAGTAGTATTTTCATTTGTAGAGAAAGTCCTTAATGATAACTTCATCTGTGGTTATCCCATTATAGTTTATTATTTTCCGTACTGCCAGCTCGCCTCTTGAATGAAACTGGATGATCTCTTTACCTGGTTATTGTGAATGACCATACTATACTCATCGGTATTTTCTTTCTTTTTTTTTTATTTTATTGTTGTACTTTAAGTGAAAGTTTACTGTTCAAGTTAGTGTCTAATACAAAAATTTATACATACATTGTTATGTGAACCTAATTGCTCTCCCTGTACTATGACAGCACACTCCTCCTTTCCACCCCTGATTTCCCGTGTCCATTCAACCAGCTCCTGACCCTCTCTGCCTTCTCTTCTCACCTCCAGACAGGAGCTGCCCATTTAGTCTCATAAATCTACTTGAGCTAAGAAGCACACTCTCATGAGTATCATTTTATGTCCCATAGTCCAGTCTAATCTTTGTCTGAAGAGTTAGCCTCGGGAATGGTTTTAATTCTGGGTTGACAAAGAGTCTGGGGCCATGCCTTCTGGGTTTCCTCCAGTCCCAGTCAGACCATTCAGTCTGGTCTTTTTACTAGAATTTGAGTTCTGCACCCTGCTTTTCTCCTGCTCCATCAGGGAGTCTTTGTTGTGTTCCCTGTCAGGGCGATCATTGGTGGTAGACAGGCACAATCTAGTTCTTCTGTTCTCAGGCTGATGCAGTCTCTGGTTTAGGTGGCCCTTTCTGTCTCTTGGGCTAATACTTTGCTTGTGACTTTGGTTTTCTTCATTTTCCTTTACTCCAGGTGGGTTGGGACCAGTTGATGCATCTTAGACAGCCGCCTGCTAGCTTTTAAGACCCCAGATGCCACTCACCAAAGTAAGATGCAGATCATTTTCTTAACAAATCTTGTTATGTCAGTTGACCTAGATGTCCCCTGAAAGCATGGTCCCCAGACCCCTGCCCCTGCTACTCCGTCCCTCGGAGTGTTTGGTTGTATTCAGGAAACTTCTTAGCTTTGGTTTAGTGCAGTTGTGCTGACTTCCCCTGTAGTGTGTGCTGTCCTTCCCTTCAACTAAGATAATTCTTGTCTACTATCTAGTTAGTGAATAACCTTCTCCTTCCCTCCCCACCCTTGTAACCATCAAAGAATGTTTTCTTCTGTGTTCAAACCTTTTCTTGAGTTCTTATAATACTGGTCTTATACAATATTTGCCCTTTGGTGATGGACTAAATTCACCCAGCATAATGCCTTTGAGATTCCTCCATGTTATAAGATGTTTCATGAATTCATCATTGTTCTTTATCATTGAGTAGTATTCCATTGTGTGAGTATATCATAATTTGTTTATCCATTTGTCCATTGATGGGCACTTAGGTTGTTTCCATCTTTTTGCTGTTGTGAACAGTGCTGCAGTAAACATGGGTGTGCAAATATCTATTCATGTGATGGCTCTGATTTCTCTAGGATATATTCCAAGAAGTGGGATTGCTGGATTGTATGGTACTTCCATTTCTAGCTTTTTAAGGAAGCGCCAAATCGATTTCCAAAGTGGTTGTACTATTTTACATTCCCACCAAGAGTGTATAAGTGTTCCAGTCTCTCCACAACCTCGCCAACATTTATTATTTTGTGTTTTTTGGATTAATGTTAGCTGGTTGGGGTGAGATGATATCTCATTGTAGTTTTTTATTTTTTAAATTTTTTTATTGTACTTTAGATTAAGGTTTACAGAACAAATAGTTTCTCATTAAACACTTAGTACACATATTGCCATATGACAATGGTTAACAACGCCATGACATGTTTACACTGTCCCTTCTCAACCTTGGGTTCCCTATCACCAGCTTTCCTGTCCCCTCCTGCCTTCTAGTCCTTGTCCCTGGACTGCTGTGCCTCATTAGTCCTGTTTTGTTTTATGAGGCTGTCCAATCCCTGGCTGAATGGTGAACTTTGGGAGGGGCTTCACCACTGAGCTAAAAGGGTGTCTGGGGGCCATACTCTTGGGGTTTCTCCAGTCTGTCAGGCCAGTAAATCTGGTCCTTTTTTATGAGTTAGAATTCTGTTCTACATCCTTTTCCAGCTCTGTCCAGGACCCTCTATTGTGATCCCAGTCAGAGCAGTCAGTGGTAGCCGGGCACCATCTAGCTATACTGGACTCAGTATGGTGGAGGCCGTGGTAGCTGTGGTCCATTAGTCCTTTGGACTAGTCTTTTCATTGTATCTTGTTCTCTTCATTCTCCCTTGCTCCTGAAGGGGTAAGACCAATGGAGTATCTTAGATGGCTGCTTACGGGCTTTTAAGGCCCCAGACGCTACTCACCAAGGTAGAATGTAGAGCATTGTCTTTCTAAACTGTGTTATGCCAATTGAGCTAGATGTTCCCCGAGATCATGGTCCCCACAGCCCTCTGCCCAGCAACTCAGTCCCTCAGGGAGTTTGGAAGTATCTATGGAGCTTCCATGACCTTTCCTTGTCCAAGTTGTGCTGGCTTCCCCAGTAATGTGTGCTGTCTTACCCTTCACCAAAGTTACCACTTATCTATTTAGTTCCCCCTCACTCCTCCCATCCCTCATACCCAACAAAGATTGTTTGTTTTTGTGTGTAAACTTTTACTTGAGTTATACAGTAGAGTTCTCATACAATATTTGTCTTTTTGTGATCGACTTATTTCACTCAGCATAAAGTCCTCCAGTTTTGTTGCTCTTACTCTCCTGTGCTGAGTTCCTTTTGTTTGTGGATTTTTTTTCTTTTGTTTTTGTAGGTTTTGTTTTTACTGAGACTTTATGTTTTTCTTCTTTATTTCGATGAGTAGGTTTGTTAACTTTTTTTGTGGTTACCGTGAAATTTACCCTTATCTGCCTAGATTTGAACCAGTCTATTATTACTTGGTATTGCTTGACTTCCTCTCCATTAGAAGGTTCTATACCTACGCTGTTTATTCCCTCTTTCATTGTTCTGATGCTGTTGTCATTTACAGATTAACCTCTCTGGTTCCCTTTTGTAACTCTTTTGGTTTTGCATAGTCCTTAAGAGTTCATTTCCTAGGTTGGTATCTGGCTAGTACAATCTGTGTCCTGTATTCAGCCTGTGGTCTGATATTGTTTGTTCTCAGATCGAAGGACTTCTTTAATAAGTCTTGTAAGTTTGGTTTGGTTTTTACATAGTCCCTTGATTTCTGTTTATCTGGAAATAACCTAATTTCACCATCATATTTGAATGAGAGTTTTGCAGGATATATTGTTCTTGGCTGGCAATTTTTTTCTTTGAAGGTTTTATATATATCATCCCATTGCCTTCTTGCTTGCATGGTTTCTGCTGAATAATCCAAGCTTAGTCTTACTGTTTCTCCTCTGTATGTGACTTTTTTTTTTTTCCTCAAGCTGCTCTCAGGAGTCTTTGTCTTTGGTTTTAGCAAGTGTGATTATGATAAATGCCTTGGTGATTTTCTTTTGGGGTCTATCCTATACAGGGTTTGTTGAGCTTCTTGGATGGTCACCTTTTCATCTTTCATGATATTGGGGAAGTTCTGTGTCAGCAATTCTTCAGTGATCCTCTCTGTGTCTTCTGTTTTCTCCCCCTGTTCTGGAACTCCGATCACTCACAAATTTTTGCTTTTGCTTGTATCCCACATAATTCTCAGGGTCTTTTCAGTTTTCTTCGTTCTTTTTTTCTGATTTTTCCTCGAACAGAGTTGTATCCAAGTGTTTGTCTTCAATTCCACTGATCCTGTCTTCCACGGTTTCAGATCTGCTCCTCAGCCCTTCTATGACACTGTCCATTTCTGAAATCTTGTTTTTCTTTTGGATTTCTAGTTGTTGTTCTCATATAGTTTCTAGTTGTGAAGTTATTTTGGCATTTTGTTCCTGCATTATTTTCCTGAATTCTTCCATTTTTTTGTCTGTATTTTCCATGAATTTGTCTGCCTTTTCCATGAATTTTTCTATTTTTTCCTCATTTTTGTCTGCTTTTTGCTTCAACTCTTGTATAATTCTGAGTATTAGAGATTTGAATTCCCTATCAGGTAGTTCTAGTGCCTTTT